AGTTTTTTGCTTACGTTGTTTTGATATATGTATTTAAAAATGTTACGCTGAAAACTTCATTAACGGCTAATGGTTTTTATATTTCTTGATATTTTTTATTCAAAATTAAGTATTAATTTTTTTTTTTTTCTAAAATTTCTTATTTTAATTACGTTTTTTTTATCTTAAAAAAATAACACAAGAATAATTTGAAAATCTTAATTTTTAAAAACTGTTTGTTATAAGTTAAATAACAGATTTTCCCTTCAACTGTTGTCAATGGTGTTTCCTCTTCTACATTTTTGAAACTGAATGCAGCTAATTTGTCAGTCATGTCTTCATCAGCACTGTCTATTTCATCATCGTCATCAAGACAGCAGTAAATTTCAATAATGTATGTAGTTCCATTGGTAATTTCAGTTCTAAAGCCTATTACCTCTTCAACTTTCCATTTAACAAATGTTGACATCATTACTTTGTTTCCTTTTGGAATGTCCTTAATTGCGAACATTCTAAAGAATATCAACAGAATCTTTTTAAATTTGAGTTAAAATAAATAACAGTTAATAAAAAACCTATACTATGAACAAAAACTAATTTTAAAAATTATTCTATTATTAATATTTATTTTTATTATAAACGATGTGTGGAATATTACAAACAATAAATCAAATATATCTTACTTCACAAGGTTAAAAATATCCTGCAGTTTCAATTTTCTTTTAACGGTTTTCTAATTTTCTATTCTTATTTTATTTGCACATTTTTATATTTACATTGTGTTTCCAGAAGCACGTTCCATTATTGAAATTAATGACTTTAAACGACTTCAAACTGCTCATTTATTACATTTGTGTAAAAGAGAATAATGTAGTGCTTTTTATATTTTAAATCAGTGCTTCGATAATATAATATCTTTACTAAAAATTATTTTTTTAATATTTTATGAAAATAAAAAAATAACTTATTATTTTTTTTGTCCCGAATTCTTGGACGAGCGTTATTTTATATGCTCGTTATAAGCTGAACGAGCGTTGTTTATCGCGCCTAGAACGTTTGAATAAGTTTTACAAGCAGAGCGCAATCGCGCTCGCTTCATCACAAGCCCTGATTTTTATAACCAAAGAAAAGCTTTTTTCTGTTTATAATATTACATTTAACGTTAACTCATAAAATGGGCGTTTTATTTAGGCTGAAAGCTATTAAATTAAAAAAATAATATTTTCTTAAATAAACACTTAACATTATGGTGTATTTAAATATCAACCCCAAATGCAATTTAATAAGATTATAAAAGTTTCAAATTGGAAGAAAATTTAAATGATTGATTTCTCAATGATTTTTGAGTTAACATTTTTTGCCCAATATTTTATGGCAAAAAACTCTACACTGTGGGCGTTTTTGTTAATTTATGATTTGGCTGTGCAACAGCACACATTATTTGTTGACTGTTACATCAATTTGATTTAACTATAGTTATGTATAATCATATCATTCTCTTCAAACCAATCAAAAATATTGCAAAAATAACCAGCTCGGGTATTTGCATTTCAGAGGTAATTTCAGAAGTTGGTATAGATAGATCTTCATTGCAACCTAAACTTAAAACATTGTTAAACTTTAATGGGAATGTCAAATATACTCAGTGAAAGGCTGCTTGACATCGATGAACCATCACTGGTGACTATTAACACTAATGATGATTCAACTCTACCTCGTAAGAAAAAGAAGTGTAAATGAAAATGATCAAACTAATTTCTACAAAAAAATGCACTCATGATGATGTGAAAAAGAATAATTTCAATTGAAAAAGATAATACTTTTTACATGAATCTGTTCGCTTAAATTAGACAGCAATTCTTTACAAGTGTTGGTTAGTAAAATGCAAAACATCCTAACAGAGCTTGCTAAAAAAAAATTATTATTTGCTGAGGACAGTGTACATAGTGAATGGCTATTTTAGGAACTATAACATCTCTAATTATAACTGTTACTTATTTTTTGTTTACTCTTATAAAGTTTTACCTTCTGGGATCACCTTAACTACATAAAAAAAAGAAAATAGTTATACCTAATTAAAAAATGGTTATGTATTTCATTAATTTTTTTTTTCTTTTGTTGAAAATCAAAAGCATTGAGCTTTTGATTTTCATAAATACTTTCATACAGGGCCGCTTCAAGGTGGCTTAGGGGCCTGGGGCAAAATTAAGTTGTGAAGCTCCAAAATCAAAATGTTTTTTATACAACCACATTGTATATATGATTGTAAAGACTTGAATATATAGCAAGAATTTATGACAGTCCCTAAATCACTGGGGTATGGGAATAAATTGTTCAGTTGTCAGAGTGCCTATTCTCTCATATTGTTTTGCTCTATTAACTTTTAATATGATGTTAAAAAATAAAAAGCGAAAATAAATTACTTTATTATTTATATGACAATTTATTTCAAATTATTCCCATAATTCAACTAAATTAACTTTTATTCGACGTTGATTTTTAAAATGTATAAGTCGAAACAATACTTATTTTAGATACTGTATATAAACAGTAAACATAAATACACCCGGAAAATGAACAGCATACAACTTGTAACTGGAGTCTAATTTAAAAACTTGTCATTAGAAATACACACAAAATTTCTACACCTTGTTATTAGAAATACACACAAAATTTCTACACCCTTTAAGTGTATTATTTTGAATACCATAACTTTTTAGTCTAAAACACAATCTGTCAAGACACAGAATCAAAAGCTTTGACATCTAAGAGCAGTGAAGAACCCAGACATGTTTTAGTATCGTTTTACCAGTATGGGCGCCCAAAAAATATTTTTAATTTTTCTTTTGATTTTTAATGAAAAAAGAAAAAAAAATTTAGTTTTAAATGCAGTAGTATATAAATAATTCTCAGTTTAATTTAGCTGCCTTATTTTTTCTTCAGGAAAATAAAAAGAATTCAAAAGAATTGCTTTTTTACATAACTACGTGACTTAATTTGCCTTCAGTTATTAACTGGACATAACTTTTAAAAAAATGAAAGTTGTTACGAAACTCAATTTTAAAACCGCGTTGCAAAATTTTATAACAATGGAATGTATAAAAAATTTGCTTTTTTGAAAGTTAAAGCGTTTTTAAATATCCATTCAGCGTAATGTTAATTTTTGTTTCTGGCAATTAAGAGTAAGGGGTCGTCCATAAAGTACGTACGCTTTTTTTTGCTACCCCCCCCCCTTGCACATTTTGCCATACGCTTTTTTGAGTACCCTCTACCTCCCTAAAAGTAGCTATGCTTTTAACCTTCTAACCCAACATTTTATGATATTTTTTTAAATTTAGTGTCTCCATACTTTTATAATTAAACTACTTATCTCAGAAACGCCATTTGGAGACCTCCTCTTCCTCTCCCAGAGCGTACGTGCTTTATATACGATCCCTAAACTGCTTTTGATAACAAATGAACAAAAGTAAAAAATAACTTGTAACTATCATGCAAACTTGTAACTATCCTTGTAACTATCGCGAAAGTTTAATTTTTAAATGAATGAACTATTGATCTTTAGCTTGCTATTTTAGTTTATGTGAGAAAAAAGGAAAAAACGAAATATAAACTTTTCTGACAGTTTTTTTCCTTTCAATATTCTTTTTAAAACAATAAAAAAAAAAAGGTTTCAATATCTTAATAAAAGTTTTATTTAGATCTGTTTAAAATAACCCATAGTAAATGTAATTTATTTATTCAAATGTAATTTTTTAAATTATTCTTAATAATTAAAAATATATATATTTTTTAAATATGTTTTTAAAAATTTAATATGGTTTTTAATCATAACAATAAAATATTTTTGAAGTTACGTTTATTGTAATTATCTCTTTAATTATCTTCAATTTAAAAGGCGACTTAAAAATCATTAAAAAAATTATTTGGTAAAAGTTAAATTCACAGATTTACTAATATTTAAATCAGAATTTTAAATTTAAAATAATATAAACTATGTTTATTAAAATGCTTATGTTTTTATTTGTGTAGTTTATTAAATATGTTTATTAAATGCTTATCAAACATGTTAATTAAATGCTTATGTTTTTAATTCAAATACAAGACGTAAAACTATTTTGTTGATTCTACAAATATTTTTGCGATATAATATATGTAAATATATTATGTCGTGTAAATATTGATTAAAAATTGTTTAAAATATTTTTAATTATTATTTGAAATTAAATTTACCAAAATATACTGATAGCGTGGTATATGCAACAAAAGCGTTTATTAAAATCTTAAGTAAAATAGTTTTCTTTTAGCTTAAGTAACATTGTTACCAGTAAGTTCATGTATTCAAAAAATGCCTTTAAATCAACACATTTTTATAGGATGAAACTGAACAAGATAAACATAAATGATTAATATGAAAATGATGATTAAAAATTATTAATGCGGCACCTGTTTAACTAGAGGAAAATGAGGGGGAGGAGTAAATCAAAAACATAGTCCCCCTTGCCCCTCCCCTCAACGTTGCTTAAAAATACGGTATCCCCAAATAAACTCTGGGTTCTTCACCAAAGAGTATAATATCTATTCTTCCATTGCTTGTTTTATTAAATCCATAAATTAATCAAAATGGTCTGAATAACAGTTTATATTTCTAATAAATTGCTGCTCATGAATCAAACAATTTTTTTTTTTTCAAATGCAACATAAATTTAGTTACAGTTTCAATTCCTTTGCTTATAACTAAAGCAAAGGAAGTGAAAATGCATTGACACCAGTGCTTTTTTAAGGAACACAAGTCAACTTTTGTATTTGTTTTCTTTTTCCTTATTTGTTTACATTTTTGATGTAAAATTTTTTTTTAAATGGTTTCAAGTTACAGGTTAGCAGAAAGATAAATAAATGTAAAGAAAAGTTTACAAAAAGACAAGTTAACATTAAAAAATAATATAAGTTTAATCAAGTTTTTATAACTGTATTTCATTTAATTATATTATAAATCATATCTTTAAGTCTGGAATTTGTTTTAGTCTATGATGGAATTGTATAAGCGGCGAAAAGCTGTGACTGAACCTGAAGTTCGATTTTATATGAAACAGATTGTTGATGCTGTTTGCTTTCTTCATAGTAAACATATAATTCATAGAGATTTAAAACTTGGAAATCTATTTTTAAATGATGACTTTCAAGTCAAAATTGGTGATTTTGGTCTAGCTACTAGAGTAGAGTTTGATGGAGAAAGAAAAAAGTAAGTATAACTTCATTTTGAAAAAGAAATTGTTTTATATTGATTGTCTATTGGCATGTTACTATGGGAGGAGTACCTGATTTGGAGTTGTAACATTTTTTTTAGGGCGGTTACAAATTTGTTGCATAATTTTAGAGTAATTTTAGTTCAGTAAAGCAAAATATTTTGTTACAATAAAAAAATTACTACAATTATTTTTAGAACATTATGTGGCACACCAAATTACATTGCTCCTGAAGTTCTTTGTAAAAAAGGTCATAGTTATGAAGTTGATGTGTGGTCTGTTGGCTGCATTTTGTAAGTTTATGTTATAATGATTTATAATAGTAAATAGACCAGATTAAGTATATAGTTTGTTTTTTAAAGGTATGTAGAACTTATAAATTGAAGCTTTTTGTGTATTATATGAAAAAAAATATATGTTTTTTCAAAAAATTGCACATTTTCTTAAAGATATACTTTACTTGTTGGTAAGCCTCCATTTGAAACTATGTCTTTAAAGGAAACATATCATCGAATTAAAAAAAATGAATATTATATCCCTGCTAAAGTTCCTCATTCTGCTCAAATGTTAATCATTAAGATGCTTCGTCCAGAGCCAGAGACACGACCTACAATGAAAGAGGTTTGTTTCTGATTTATTCATATAAATTTTTTAAGTATTCATTCATATAATTTTTTTAAGTATACATATAATTATTTTATTAAGTAAAGTTAAGGGTGTTTTTAAATTTAATAAGTAAAATGAAGAGTGTTTCTAAATTTTGCCCAGTTTCAAATTTATCCTGATGGTCTTTTTTTGTTTTTTGTCCAAAAACGGACTCCCAAAAGCAAGTCAGGATATGTCACCAATAGTTCACTGGATTTTGTTCAAATTTTATCTAAGAAGTCCTGAAGTTGCATTAAAACAATATCAAGTAAATCTAGTTTAGACGCATGTAAACATTGAATTTTAACTTTTAAAGTTCAGAAATTGGAAAATAAAATGGCTATCAAACCAAGTTGCAGTGGAGGTGGAAAAGACATTCATAATGCTTTTTAACAAAAATTTGAGTTTACAAGAGGTCCTAAAGGCTGTAATTGATTCCTCAGAAAAAAAAAGTGATAATGAGTGTTTTGAAGGTTGCTCTTTGGATTATTTGGCTCTTTAGATGAGGACCCTGTTCCTGTGCACTTTATTTATACTTTTTATTTATAACTGTAAGTTGCCATTTCATTACTTTAATTCACCTAAAATAAAGATGTATGATAATTAGTGTTACATATAATGTATGATAATTAATGTTTGCTTTTTTTGGCTGACCTTTGTTGCATAGTGATGAAGATGGCAACTTAGTTGAACCCACTAAAGATATTAATATTGATGATTATCAACCAACTGAAAAGTATAATGATGTTGATACTACATACTATGTTGAATCTTCTGTAGCAAATAGCTCTACTGAGGAAGAGTTCGTTTCTGCACAAGTGGGCAAGGACATGTGGAGTGTGTGGACAAAGAATGCAATAGAGATAGGATTTGTTGTCAACATGGTTGAAGAAATCAATCAAATATTCGTAAAAAAAGTGATGGTAACCCTAATTGGAAGTCATTAGGCAACAATAAACAGGAAAGTCGATATCAAATTTTTTAAGATTGTAGTGTTGAGCCAAGAAACTACTTTGCCAAAAATGTTGCTGCAGTTTCTTTAATTATTTTTCACACGGAAGTATTAAAGCAGCTATCAAGCTAATTTATTTTATCAATACTTGCATGAGAATTCAAATAGCCTTTTAGCCCATTTAAAGACACTTTTGTCTTTTCCCCCATTCAAAGAAACTTTTGTTTTAGATTTATTGGCTTTTAGGGATGAACAATGCAATGGAATTAGAATGATTTTTGTTGTATGATGATTACTAAAAGAGTAATCGTCATACAATGAAATTTAAATTCATTAGCTGCCTCCATCTGATGCACTAGATGGAGGCGGCTAGGCTAGAGTTATTGCTCCTGACATATCTAAAGCTTTCGATCAAGTTTGGCCTGCTGATCCTCTCCATTAGCTTGCTTCATATGGTGTATCTGAAATAGTTTTTAAGATTATTAAACCATTTCTTTCTAACCACTTTATCAAAGTCATCCTCAATTGCCAGTACTCGTTTTCAAATCCAGTAATTTCTGGGATACCCCAATGTTCTACATTAATGATCATCCTGACAATCTTACATCTGTGTGTGTGTGGCTCTATTTGCTGATGACTCAACTTTATACTCCTGTCTTGACAAAGTCTTCTTTTTTCGAACAGAACAGGCAGTTGATTTGAATCTGATTTCATTTTTGTAACAGATTGGTGTTTGCAGTCGCTTTAACACCAACAAAATATTAACACCAACAAAATTTTAACACCAACAAAATATAAAAATCGTAATACAGTCAACATTCCTATATTAATGCTCTCAATAAGTCCTCTTCTTTATTTCTTCTTTGATTATTGTTTACTACTGATCTTTCATGGAAACTATATATACAATTAATTGCTAATTTAGCATCTGCTAAGGTTGCTTCTTTTTATCTTGCTCACCATTTTCTTACTCCTGATTCCATTCTTTAGTTCTACAAATCTCTTATTTCTTGTATGAAATAGAGTTGTCATATTTGGGATGGTTCTTCTAATGATACTCTTTCTCTTCTAGACAGGGTTCAAAAACACATTGTAAATGCAGTTGGACCTACTCTATCTGCCAAACTTGACCCTCTCTCCCATCATTGTAAGTTTACATCTCTCTTTTCCACAAAACTATCATGTTTACTGCTCAAAGAAGTTTGCTTTATCTATCTTTGCTCTAAAAACTTTTATTCATCTAGTTTTTTTACCGCACTTCATCTCTTTGGAACTCCCAACCATCTTTATGTTTTCCTAACTCTTACAACCTACAACTTTTCAAGTTTTTGTCATCCGTTTCCTTGCTCTTTAACTCTATTCTTTTTTTTCTTCTAGTAACTCCCAACTTAATAGTGATTGCTTGCAGCCTTTTTAGGAGTAAATCAAATGGAAAAAAAAATGGTGAGGGTAAACAAAATTTATTGCACCAGGTGGTATTTGATCTCATGGATAACTATCTTGATAACGACATCACCTGTACATTTTTTATTATTTTATTATTCAATGATTTTTATTTCAGTCTTATCTCATCAAAATTCTAAGGATAGACAAACATGTTTTTGGAACAATTAAAGCAAATAGGGGATTTCTGAAGAACTTAAAAGATGCCAAACTTGAAATGGTTGAATCCTTGTATATTGAAATGGATCACATCATTGCAGTTTATTTGAAGGATAAGACATGGGTGTTGTAGAAAAGTGTGATCAACAATTATACTCTCGCAAATCAGTAAAATCTTTTTTAGACTATTTGAAATGTCTATTAGTAACAGTATGTTATTATTTTTTAAGTTTCCTGAGTTTTAGAAGAAGAAATATTCCCATAAAAAATTTAGAGAAAATGTTAGTTCATTAAATGGTTCAGCGTTATCTTGACTTAAAAGCAGATGGCCATATTTGCAAGACAGACCATCCTTGTTTGGAGCCAAAGCCTGTATCAAAGATTGATGATTAGGATACTACCATATTGGCAGGGGAACACTTTTTATCTAGAATAAATTTTAGAAGAAACTACAGTTTGTGTTTACAAAGTTAATCCGCAGACTTAAATGCGAAATAACAAACCTACTGTCAATTATTGTGAGACATGTAAAAAATATGTGCGTCAGAACTGTTTTAAAAACGTTCGTACTAAAAACAAAATGTAGAATCTAATTTCTGATTTCCTTCATAATTTTGTTTCACTTTCAAAGGTTAAAAGCAATTTATTATATATATAACATTATTAGATATTTTCTTTTTTTTTCATAATTTCTGTGTTCACTTATTTTCAAATATTTCAATAATCATTTGATGAAATCCCAAAATATTATTTTTGTTCAATCACTAAGATGTGTTACTAGAATAATCGAAGAGCTTAAATCTTGAAAGACATTTATTCTTTTAAATAATATAAACTAAAATAAGTAAATGAGTATCTTTAAAAGTAGGTGAATATCCATTGAAGTTAGTATTTTCACGTAAATGTTTCACAATTTGTTTAATAGAAAAGATCAGCTTTATTACTAATTTACTGTTGAACAAATATTAAAAAGTAATTTTATAAATTTTGCAATTATTACATGTAGATAAAACATTTTTTAAAGCAGTTACTTTTTATTGCTTTTCTAGTGTCAGGAAGATCGCTTTTTCACAGATGGCTTCACACCAATTAGCTTACCAAATAGTTCTCTTACTATGGCTCCTCGTTTTGCTTCCGCCCAATATTACTCTGATCGAAGACCGTTAAGTGATGCTAATCGTGATTTAGGAAAAGCTGTATTATCAAATATTCCAGAGAGTAGTACTACTGTTGATAAAAATAATGTTAGCCGAGCTGTATTTGTAAAAGATGGGTTAGGCCACGAAATAGATGAAGATCCTGCTGAAGAAACTGATGGTTTTTATTTTTTGTTTTGTAACTAGTATCAAAGATTAATAATGATACCTTGAACAAGTTTTTGACCAATATACTTATTAATATATTATAAGATATTAATTTGTACTGAGAATTTGTAGAAGAACACTTAGAGAAAATATAAATTATATATTCTTTATTAGGAGAGCCAGATGATCATTACTTAGGACATCTTCAAAAACTTTTGGACAGAGTTTTAGAGTCAAGACCTGCTGATCGAGATAGCATTAATATGGGTTTGATTTTATTTTTTAAATCTCTGTGCTAAGATAAAATGAGGTTAATTTTTTAAGAAAAAAAGGTAAAATTTAATGGTTTTAAGTTCATCAAATAAAAAATGCTTATTTTCTTAGATAGGTTGATTTTTTGTGCAATAATACTAGTAAATGATATTATTTATTAATATTAGTTAGTAATATTAATTAATGGTAATAGTTACCATATAATATTAGTAAATAGTATTGGTAGCCCAGCAGGACAACCAGACAGTTTGTTATTAACAAAAGTGTGTTTATTAATTAAACTATATTTTGATTTATAAATATTTCATTCCCTGGAATTATTTAAAGGAAACTTTAAAAAGCATTTAAAGTAGTATACACTTTGTTTAATAATGAGTACACTACTCTGTGTTCTAATTTTACCAAACTTAATAAAAAGAAGCCAACACGTGATTTAATATTTCAAAATGCGACTGCACTGTTTTTTAAATTACATTTTCTTTCATTTCCAAATGCTATTGTATTTTTTAAACCTTATAGTAGCATTTTGAATCATGTGAAAAGGCAGTTAAATCATTAATTACACTGAATCTCTTTTGTTTTTGATTAGTAAAATAATTTTTAACTTTATCAAACAAAATTAACAGAATAAAAAACATTAAAATGCACACAAAAAATTATTGCCGCCGTGTTCCAATTCTAAAAAGGCTATTCACACTTCCGCTGTGTTCCCATTCTAAAAAGGCTATTCGCACGGCCGCAAAACCAAATTTTGCAATCAATTTTTGAGTCACTTTCTGACAGGGTTGGTACCCAAAAACCCAAACCCAAAAACCCAAGACCAAAAACCCAACTTTATGGGTTTTTGGTCTTCAATTTTTAATTTTTAATTTTTTTGTTCATAAATCAATTTCCATTAACACACAAGATTTGATGCTGCTCAACTAACAACAAAAAATGAAGTTAAGTAAGTCATAAACAAGAATTTTATTTTACTTGGAAAATTTTGCAAAATTTGCAGGCAATTTGGAAGACTTAGATTCTTTCATTTCTATAATTCTCCACAAATTTGTTGCTGATGTTGTGCTTTTAACACTATCGTTGAATAAATATGTTGGGAAACAATTAGCATCTTTTAGTTTAAACGCATAATAGCCTGGCATAAATTCAGGATAGACTTCATTCAACCATTCCTCAGCTTCTTCTTCTTGACTTCTATCCAATGTTCTTCCTAAGTAAATAAGTAAAGTTATAAGAGTAGTAAACTTAAATAAAAACTTTACATTTGTTTTTATTAAAAATTAATCAGATGCAATACTTTAAGTTTTTTACAGTTGTTTAGTTACCTTCATATTTTGGATCTGTTAAATTGGCAAGCAAATGACATGGAACAATTGCCTTCTTGAACCTCTTTAAAATATCATCTTTGTACAAAGCCAATTTTTCATTATGTATGATGCTTTGCCAAATCTCAACTGCTTCAGACAAAGTTGTATCGTCTGCTTGCAACTACAGTAAACACAATAATTTTGCTAATAATTAGGTAAATAAAGTTAATGGTGACATTGTTCCTAATATAAGTGGTTTTAATATACTTAATATAATTAAATTTAATAAATCCAATTAACAACTAATTTTATTAACCTTATCTAACGCAACACCAATAATTTTCAGTTGTGCATATAAATTTATTGCTTCTCTCTGTATTGATAGATTGTCAATTAGGCTTCCTATCGAAGGATCAATGGATTCCATATGCTCACCTCTAATGTCAATGTACAGAGAATGATTAGATATGTATGTCTGTAAACAATCTAGTTGGGAGTTCCAGCGAGTATCATTAGGTAGCTGTGGCATCAGTCCACCTTTTTCCAATAACCAACCCTATAATAAATTTATTTAAGAAAATTTAACAAAGAAATATTAAAAAATAATTTTGTTAAAATAAAGCTAGGATCTCTTTTGCCATCATTATCATTAGGCTTATATCATTAACACAGCTGTGTTATTTCATAGTATTGTATTACAGAATATAATCAATAAGTAAAGAATTTAATACATACATGTGGTTGGTGATGATTACGAAAATATTTTTGAATTGCTATAATATGCTTTACTATAGACTTTGGAGAGACATCCTTTTCAACCAAATTTAAAAAATGAGCAGAGCAACCAAATGTTATCAACTTAGGGGCTTCAGCCTGCAAAAGTTTTCTCATTTTAGACATTTTATTTTCGTTGTCAGTGCATACTGCAAATACCTAAATAAAAAATGAAACGTATGTGTATATATATGAAGGCCTCAACGGAAGAACGATCAGAGTCACACTTTTGATGTTTTGAGAAAATCAATTTTTAAGATTTAAAACACCATCATGTAGTTCAACGAATTAAAATCACCCCAAAAATCATTTTATTAAAATCGTTCTTCCGTTGAGGCCTTATATATATATATATGTATATATATATATATATATATATATATATATATATATATATATATATATATATATATATATATATATATATATATATATATATATATATATATATATATATATATATAAATGTATATGTATATAGTATATATATACACATTAAATAAAGCAGTTAAACATCTAACACTTACATCTTTATTGAACGTTTCTTTAGCAATTTTAATTGCATCCTTAGCAGCTTGAGCGCAATAATCTGCTGTTTTTGATTGGCTTCCAGTGTCAATTGCAGAAATGAGATAAGGTTTATTTTTACTATGGATGCTATGAGCAATTATAGGATCTTTACTGAATGTACTCCAACCATCTTGAATTAGGGTAACAGCACTATCATCAGCAAGATCATTTTTCATTAAATTGATTACTTCATTTATTTTTACTAAGAGTTCTGAAGATATCTGTTTTCTATTTGGTGGCTCATATCCAGGTCTAAGTTTTTTAAGCAGCTTGGTAAATTCAAGATTTTCTACTACGTTGAATGGTATATTTGCTGAAAAGAAAAATCTTGCAACTTGTAAATCCAGTTCATCCTTCTGATTACTTGTTGTTGTAGTAACAAATTTAGAAACAGATGTTTGCTGTTGCATCGTCATTGCAGTTGACTGAACAATTGACGAATAAAAAGAATCACTAATAAAGCTTAAACCATCTTGCTCATTATCATCAGACAGGCTAGACTTATTTGATGCTGCAGATGTAGATGGCCTTGACTCTAAAACTGATATATCACTTAACACTTCAGCGGAATTATTATTGCTTCGTTTATTCTTTCTTCTGCATTTATCCAAATGGATCTCTTGAAACTCTTTCTATTTTTTTAATTATGCTCACTTTGCAATAATTACATATTACTCTATTTGGTTGATCACTTAATATGGTCACTTCATTCCACTCACTAGCCTTATTTCTTCCCCCTGAATGATACTTTGGCATGTTTAAGACGTATAATCTACTTATATTTTAAATTTAACTAAAAAGATAACTCTATTTAAAAATAGATTTGTATTATAAAAAAATACAATCTGATTATTAATAAAGCTTTTGTATAAGAAAATATACCTGTAAAAAATGAAAAATAGCTTTATTATATTATAAACTATAAATTAATCAAACATTGATTACTAAAGATTTATACCAAACTTTAGCAAAAACCCATCAAAAACCCACCCAATAACCCAGCTGGGTTGGGATTTTGGTCAAAAACCCGGTTTTTGCCAACCCTGCTTTCTGATAATAAATTTTCTTCAAATTTTGCATACATACTCTTGCTTGATGACAATACAATATTCAATAATTAGTCATGCAATAAGTTAACTAATCTAGTTAATTTTAATTAAATTTATTTTTTATATGGAAAGAAGAATTTAAAATTTATAAATAACTATACTAATTGTTTGATTACTTAAGCGCGTGTTTAGCTTATTTGGTAAAGTCGTCGACTTTGTAAACTGAAGGTCGGAGGTTCGAGCCTTACCACTTCCTGGATATTTTTTTTTATTTTACACACGCATACAGCCGAATGTTAATAAAATAAAATAAAAATATCAGAAAAAACTTATTGCAAAAATTGTGTTTTTAAAACATAAAAGCACTGGGTTTTAAAAATTAGTTTTTAATTTTACTTGTTCTTTTTGCGTTTTTTTAGAATTTTTTTAGCATTCAATATAATTACCAATTGTAATTGTCATTTTCTTTCAGATCTTCCTTTTCAGCTTTTAATTTGTTCTGTTAACTAATTAATAACCTACTAATTAATTCTAAAGTTACGGTGCAGTCCTATTTCAAATTTTACCAATTTGAATGTGCAAACACCTTTTCTTAACTATTTATATGGCAGCCGTGCCAATAGTCTTTTTTAGAAGTTGTACATGGCAGCCATGCCAATAAACACTATCAAAATTATTATTAGAAGGATTATGCAAGTAAAAATTGTTTTTTTCTTAAAAAAAAAGTCTTATTTTAATGAAAAATGTTTAAAACATTAAAAACACAATGTTTTAAACATTCAACTAAATTAACTTTGATTGAAGGTTGAGAGACAATATTAGAATATTTTTCTCTTTATAAAACGTTTCTTTGCAGTTTTGGCTTTCAACATTTTTTGCTTCAGGTAATGAAACCTTTGTTAAGATTGACAAAATCTTAACAAACGATACGATACAGATATGGACTACGACAAAAATGACAACACATTTTTAATTTAATAAATTTTAATTTTAATAAATAAATAAAAAATTAACTTTAATTTTAATTAATTTACTTTTAAACAAACCGTTTCTTATTAGACGTATTTTAGTCAGACATTTAAATTTTTTTTCTTCGTTATTTTCACCTGATAAAAAAAACAAAAAAACTTTTACACCGGACTACTGATTATCATAGCGGATCTTTTAAATGAGAAATAAAAAGTTTTTATTTCTCTTGAAAAAAACTTAAAGATACACTGCTGAACTGTAAATGATTCTTACTATAAAGTTTTTAACATTTTTAAGGATATCTTATTTTAACTACTGCAAAATTATACATTATATTATGTTTAAATAGAAGGTCTATTTTAACATAATATAATCTATATTGTTGCAACATGTATAATTTATATATAACCAGCTGATGGAATTAGGGTCAATGCTCATTAAAGTTGGAAATTTTTTGCTGACCTCATCTCTATCTTGTTATGTTGAAATCTTAGTGTTTAAAATTTTGTGCCAACCTGACACTGTCCAAAAACAGTTTAAGGTTGGCCTTATTTTTTCTGCATAATATTCTTTTAGTCTAGCGCTAGGTAATGTCAAAATTAATTTTTTATGCATTATTATTTAGACGAAGCTGAAGACCCTGCATTAACACCAGTATCATGGGTCAGCAAATGGGTTGATTATTCAGATAAATATGGTTTAGGATATCAGTTATCTGATGGCAGTGTTGGAGTTTTGTTTAACGATGCAACAAGGCTTTTGATGCATGAGGATGAAAAGTTAGTGTTATTTAATCATTCACTTTTAAAAAGTTTTTTAAAATTGTTTTTATTCATTTTAATTTTTAGTTAATTGACCAACCAGGGCTTGATTTTTGAAGTGACAAATTAGTTGTTAATATTGTTCGCATAGTTTTAATGTCACTTTTTTACAGATATTTTGTTTTCACATCATGTCAGGGTTGGCAAAAACCCGGGTTTTTTTTAAAAAACCCGGCCCAGTGGGTTTTTTTGGGTTTTATTGGGTAAATTTGGGTTTTTTTGGGTTAAATTTTTATTTTGTCTCTGTAAAAAATTTTTTTGTGTTTTTGTTTAATGATATTGAAAATTAGTTTTTTTCTACTTTAACTTTATTTAAAATATATTTAATATATTGTTGTTTAATTATTTATAACAAGAATTTTTCAAATTATTTTGAAAAAGATTTTTAAATATAATTTAAAACTGTAATAGAAAAAAAAAATTTCACGCTTAATCTATATGTATTGATTTATTTTAAATTTAAAAGTATTATTCTATATAATTAAAAATGTCAATGAGAAAATGTGAAAAAGAAGGCTTGAGAATGGGAGGTAGTAACTGAAGTTTCAATTAAACTTTGAACTTGAAATTCAAATGAACAAACTTGTTCCTCTGCGCAGCGGCCTTGTTTATAAAGATTCATGTTTAGGAGTTTGTTTTTTTTTTAAATCAATTCACCTCCTCAAAGCTTATGGTCACTACAGGCGAGGGGGCTACTTATTTGTGGTTATAACCCTCTCTCAACTCTATAACTCCGAAACACGAACCTTAACGAACAAGGCCGCTGCGCGGATAAAGGAGTTGAGCGCGGTACTGCCAGGGACGTGGTGGGGATTGAACTCAGAACCTCTCACTTATGAAGTGAGCGCTCTACCACAACACCACTACCGCAAAAGAGTTGAGAGAGGGTTGTAACCACAACAAGGTAGCCTCCTCGACTGTTGTGTTGGCTTTTCTGGTCACTACTACTCATTTAAATTTAACTTGGGAGGTGAACAACATAAAGTAATAAAAATCTCAATCGATAAAAATATTTGAATAAAAATTGTAATAATGTATTTCCAAATAATGATTCAAATAATAGTAAACCTGCTCTGATAGCTGTTATTGTTGGTTATAATAGTTAATAATAATAGTTAATAATAATTAAGTTAATAATAATAGTTAATAATTATTTTAGTAAATAATATTATAGTTATAATGTTAAAGTTGGTTATAATAGTTCATAAACTTATTAAATATCTTTAAAAAAACCCAATAAAACCCAGATTTTCCAGGGTTTTATTGGGTTTTTTTAGGTGGGTTTTTTTGGGTTTTATTGGGCGGGTTTTTTTGGGCGGGTTTTTTAATGCCAACCCTGCATCATGTTATTTAATTTCACATCTTTACAGATTATACTTTGTTTACACACTATGAATGTAATTTAAACTCACTTCTTTACAGACTATATTTAGCCAAAAAATCTATAAAATTGTTTAAAAAAAAATATCGTACAAGATGATTTTTTTCAAAAAATATACTTTTGTAATTTATATAGTGTAACATTAGAAGTATCGTGTAACAGTAGAAGTAAATCATGTAAGATTTTTAGGAGTTTATATGATGTAGCATTATTGTTAATACATTTTCATGTTTTTTAAATAAAACTTTAGGACTCAATATATCTGATAATAATTTTTTTTTTATTAGACTCTAACTATTTTAAGGAAGTTTAATAAGTTACACTTTTTTTACACATTTTTTTTTTACACATTTTTGTTTATATTATTTATAATATCTATAATTTTTTATTATATTTTACCTTTAGGAGTTTGCAATATATTGATAAATTAAATAAGGAAACATTTTTCACTATTGATAATGCTCCTCCCAATATGCAAAAGAAAAAAACACTTTTGGAATATTTCCATGATTATATGAATGAACATCTTTTAAAGGTAAATGTAGTTTTATTAAAGTTTCCTTTTGACTAAATGGTGTTGTAATCATGTATCAATATAAATGGTGCTGTAATCATGTATCAATATATTTCAAAAGTAACACAATTGTTGAAATACAGAAATTGAATTTTTACATACAGTAATTAATTTTTTTTTTCAAAAAATACAGTAATTAAATTTTTTTTTCAAAAGGATGATTTTTACTTTTTATCTATTTTTAGACAGGTTCAGGGGTAGCTACTAAAGGCATGGAATCAGCACGTTTGCCGTATTTACGATCTTGGTTTAGAACAAGAAGTGGAATTATTCTTCATCTTAATATAGGAATTTTACAGGTAACTTTAAAACTCTCAAGGTTAATTAAAATATGGTCGTATTGCAGTTGCATTTGTGTAAAATATGGTAGTATTGCAACTGCACTTGTGTAAAAGGTTCTAAGATCTCGATTTCTTTACTATCTTACAATTTTTTAAATATTTAACATTTTATTTTAATTAAATTTTATTTGTCTAAAAAAAAAAGTTTTGAAAAGTTTCACCATGCTATTTATAATCATTGATATCAAGGGTTGAATTAAGCAATTGCGAAACGCAAAATCTGGAAAAGTATCTGGTCTTCAAAATTTTAGTTTATGCAAAACTGTGTTCTTTCTTTTTAAGGGGTGAAAAAGTTATAAAAAATAAAACAATAAATTTAGGATTATAAAAGTATTAACACTCTAGTTACTAACTGTATTATAAAAGTAATAACACTATAATAGTGTTATTACTTTTATAATGTGCTTATAACTTTTATAATTCATTCTTTGTTCAAACAACATATGTAATCCCAAATTTTAATTGAAGTAGAAAAGCATCTAGAAGAAACAGAGTGGATATTCAAATAAACTTTAGGAACTTTAACAACTTTATAAAAGCGTAATTTATGAAAAGTTGAGCATTATGAAAAACGTTACTAAAGGTCTGTAAAAACGTTTCTAAAGTTCTTGAAGTTTTAAATAATATTTAAATATCCACTTTATTTTTTCTATAAGATGTCTTTCTACTTTAATTAAAGTTTGGAAGTTTTAATAATTTTGTTTGAACAAAGTTTTAATGAACTTTAAAAGTAATAAGTGCTTTATAAATGTAATAACACTATTATAGTTTTATTACTTTTATAATCCAGTTAGTGACTACAGTGTTATTATTTTTGTAGTCATAAGTTTATTGTTTTATTTTTTATAACTTTTTCGCTAACAAATTTAAGTTGATTTGCCCCTTGAAAACAAAGAACACGGTTTTGCATAAACTAAAATTTTAAAGACTAGATATTTTTCTAGATTTTGCATTTCACGATCGCTTAATTCAACTCTTGGATATATATTAAATCATCAGTTATTTACTTAATTTGATATAGAGGTAAGAAGTCATATATGCCATTCATAGGACATTCAATTTTTTGCTTGCAATTACAATTTTCAATGTTTTTTTTTAAGAAATTTATTTTTATTAATCAATGCAAAATTGTGGCTTTTATAATTATTTCAATATTTTTTGTACAGCTATAGCTTACTTTAATAGTGTTTCTGTTAAAAATTGTGTGCAATTTATTAGAGGAAGGGAAATGTTTGTCTATTGATTTTAAAAATGGTTTTCCAATATTTGTTGAAACATTTTTGTTGTACAAAGGATTGAAGCAAATTATATTTCTATTTTTCTTTTTTGCAATTTACGTTTTTTTTAATTTTAGCTTGAAATTTTTAAATGCGCTCTTTTTAAGAGCATCTTCTTACAAATTTGTATATAAGTTATAAAAATATATATAAATTATAAAAATTTTGTGCATAAAGATCAGTCCCATGAATGAAAGATGAAATGTTAGATCTACCCTTGTTAACAGCACTGTTGAAGATTTTCAAAAAGTCTCTAGAGCCTAACTTCTGAGATAAGTGAATTAGGTGAACTGAGAATAATAGAGCTTAGCATCAGACAGCATCTTTTTACATTGATTTCTTGAAATAATAAATAGCTGTTTGTTCTCTAGAGAGTTGTTTTTCTGAAAAAGATAAAAAAAACTATTACGGTTAGATGTAGCAGCTGCATAAGAAGGTGAAAACCATGGAGTAAAATGAGGCTTGACTTAGAATTGATGATAAGGAATAAAAACATCCATTTCTGCCTGAATCCACAAGGTTACGTAGGAGGCGCATTTATGAGCTGAGAGAAAAGACATCATCCCAAGGACCATCACAAAAAAAAGTCACCAGTCAGCTTTTGGATAATTGTAAGTAGTGCGATGGTGAGTCCGAAAAGGAAGTACGAGATTAAAGGCTTGAAGAGATCATTGCATGGTCAGAACCACCTAAAGAAGAAAAAGGAGAAACTAAACACAAGCTTGGATCAGAGACCAGACATAAATCAAGGAGTGAAGGTAAATGATTAGGGTTGTCAGAAGAACGAGTCACAAAGTTAAATATCTTAGTAAGAGATTGAGAAGTGCAGAACTTATAGGCTTTAGTGTCATCAGGGTCAGTAACCTTAGAGCTAAGCCGTTCAGTGTGATGAGCATTAAAGTCACTGATGATAACAATGTTGGTAGAGGGTCCAATAGCCAATTATGTGGCTATTGGAGTCTTTGTGAATAAAAGGATAGTACCCATCAACTGAGATCTGAAAAAGGAATGGTGGAATTTAAATTAGTCTCACTAAGGGCAAGGAAATCTAGTGGATTTGGCATTAAGTAAGATTCAACTGATGAAAGGTTGCTTTACAGACCACAAACATTTGTAAAAGATATAACCTAACAGTTATGTGATGGGGATGGTTTTTTATGTTTAGTATTTTGGGTTACTTTTGGCATGATTTAAGTTTAAACAGAACTTGACTCATTCATAGATAGAGCACAGCCTTCTAAGCAATAAGCTATGCAGTTGTCTCAGTCCTATTAATTAAAGTCGTAACACAGAGTTCGGGAAACCTTACTACCAGCCGGCCTCAGAACCATTAAACTGAGTTTTATAGCTGTACCCTCATTAGGAGATAACAGGAAAAGTTGCATAGCCACTATCAAGGAGGCGCAAGCAAAAACCTAAGAGTAGAGTCAATAAGATCCAGCATTCGTCATCCTAGGCAAGAAACAATTCAACACAGGTTTATATCTATGCCAGCCTAATAGATGAAGAAGTCATTGCCTAGGAAGCCTCCTACAAGACAGTAGCTGGATGCAGTTAACAGTTATCTGCCCAAGATGACTATTTTTATCGAGATATCACATCCTTTACTCAACCAAGAGCCCCAAAGCAGGGAATTTTTAATTCATAGTTTGTTTCTCCTAGCCTTAGCTTAAAAAAGTACACCCTTCAAGGCAGCAGGACATGAGGCAGGTAGTACTGGGTTCTTTTAATATTTAGAATATTAAAAGAAGCTCCTTACTTCGCCTTCACACACGCACACCATCACCACCTTTACCCCCACCCCACCATCCCAAAAACGAGGCTCTAAAGTTTTAGGGTTTAAATTTTTAGGGTCTCTTGCTCCCATTCTCCTATCACAGTTTTTTTTTTTTTTTTTTTTTGCGAAAAATGTTTTCGTCTTACATATGAACGTAAAAAAATATTTGGAATATTCTTTTTGTTTAAAAGTTGGTTATTTCAAACATTTTAAAACCTTCCTACGCCAATGGTGACACCTATTTCTTTAAATTTACGGTGAATCATGTAAATTTTATTATTAGCTCAATCTGTTTGTAAAGGTTTTAATTTCTTTAATGTTTTAGTTCTCAATTAATTATGTTATAATTTTTTTTTTTTAGATAAATTTTTTTCAAGATCATACAAAAGTTATTATATGTCCAAAAATGGATGCTTTTTCTTACATTGACGAAAATCGTAATTTTCGAACTTATAAACTTAGTGGAATTGAGAAACATGGATGTACACGTGAAATTTTTGTGCGCTTGCGTTACGCAAAGACGATGGTAGAAAGACTCTCAAAAAAATTAGCAGAAGAAAAAAAAGAAAAATTATCTGCTATTTAAATTATTGGTATAGGGACCTGAATCGGGTACAGCATTACATTTATAAATGCTTACGAAATAGGCTGAATTCCTGGTGTGTGTATACAAAATTTTTTATATACCAATCTGTCAGTTTAGAATTCCTGTTTTGAAAGTGCTAATCCAATGGTACATAAATTATGACAAAAAATTCTTATGCACTTAGAACTTTTTTGAATTCCAATTAGTATAATAAAGTTAATGGAATTTCTATAAATTCTATCAATGTATAAATAAAAATTAAAGTATGGTTGTGTATATAGATATTGTTTTACGCGACTTTTTTTATCTAATAATATGTATTATGTATTTGTCAACATTCAGAAATATTGGTTGTATATAATAACATACCTCTTTAAACCCTATTGAATCTATATTTAACAATTAAAATCCTTCAAAAGTCGAGTATCACATAAAAAAAACTATTGTACTAATGGGTGATTTTAATATAAATCTATTGAGTTACAAAGTATCGCAAGTTGTTTCTTATTATTTTGAATTTTTATGTTCTTATTCCTTATTTTCTACAATAGTTCTTCCTACTCGTGTAACTGCTAAAACCGAACTTATTGATAACATTTTCATGAACTTCTTCCATTCTGACATAAATTTTGGTAATCTAGTAATCTCTAACTACATGGGACACTTAGTCTGTATTCCAATAGCAATAAAAACAATAAAATTTCTTTTGATACGGATTCTTTTACTTAAAAAAGATGATAATATAATTTATTTTTTTATGAAATATTTGAAAAAGTATTAGACAGCCTTACAAAAAATAAATAAACAAGAAAATCAATCTTTAATCTAAACCCTGCACACTGGTCGGAAACATCCAGGGTTTATCTTTTTCCGGATATTTCTGGAATTCCGGATATTTTTTAAATTTTTTATATTTTCCGGATAATTAAATAATTTTCGAAAATACAATTTATAAAATTTTTTCTGTTTATTACTGTCATCAAATGAAACAGTAACAAGTATATATAAACAGTAAATTTGTTGTCCATAAATTACGGAACGCTATATTTAGTTAACAAACAAAGCCAAAAAGATTAAAAGATTTCCCTCGCAGAGTACACCAAAAATTAATAAGCATTTTAATTAAAGTTTAAGATAAATCCCAGCGCAAAAGAGCGAATGATCTCCTACTTTTAAAATAAAATTACCGATGCGTGTCAAACTCTTCTCTTTTTTAAAAATATTTTAAATTTACATTTTTTAAATACCGTAAGATTGATTGGGTGGCTTTGGCCCTACGGGATGACTTTAGCCCAAGCGAAATTTTTGTTTAAAAATGGTTTAAAATCGATACCTTAAGGTATGCCGGATGATGTTTATTAGCAAATTGTAGAAAATTTATTATTTATTTAGTCTAACTTAGTTTACTTAACTCGAGTCTTTGTGATATTATTGTAAATTGCACTTTAGAAGAAGCACCTAAAATACGAATTTAAACGATTTAAAAAAAATCATTTTGTTAAATCTTTTAAACTTTGAATCACATGAATGATCACGTGAATCATTAATAATGCCTCACCTTTTGTTTATCATAGTTAAAATAAACTTAAAATTTAAACTATATCTAACGAACGTTTAAACTTTTTTAGTTAACGAACATGGAGATTTTTTTATAAAAGAAGACATTGTATTGATTTAAGTTTAAAACATTTTAAACACTGAGTGGAAGAACTAATTGTAGAAAACTAACTGATTACAGAAAAATAATTCAATATCTTTTTACTTTTATTTATTTATTTTCTTTTTTAACATATTTATTACTAAAGATTTCTAATTTTTTGTATTTTAGAAGTCTGGTGTTTATTATTATTATTAGTTCCTTTCTTTTTACTGCGATTGAAGTATGCTCCGAAAATAGTTAAAATAAAATTCATTTATATTTTCCAAAAGTTTGTGTTTTACTGGTAATAAAATATTTACTGAAAGAAGTTGGCAAGCAAAAGTCTCGGATATATTTCGGTTTATTTTGCAAAATTACTACAAAAAAACCAAAACGCTCAAAAACACCCATGGGATTTCAGTTATGGTGGCGCCTCTGATCTCTAACAACGCGTTAAACGTTTATCTGTTTGTATATCTTTGGTGAATTGAAGCAATATTTCATTATCCATTATGTATTTAAATGTATAAGTGCATGTCTAAAAAAGTTTCCGCATTGTTTAACAGCTTTTAAATATAGTTTTCTACTTCTTCTTTGACTTTATCTTCTTCTTATTATTATTGTTAAAATTTTATCATTATTATTATTCTTTTTTTAATGAAAAAACTATGTAGTTTTTTATTCATATACAGCAGTGGTTCCCAACCGGTGGTCCATGGACCCCAGAGGGTCCATAAGAACTTTTTATGCGGACCACAAGTTAAACGTAAATTATAAATATTAGTTGTGCTCTATCAAAAACTCAGCAAATAATATCTGAAAGTCAAACTTTCAGATATTATTTGCTGGTAAGCAGTGCCAGAATTCACATTGACCTGTTTTTGTATCATATATTAACTAAGATTAAGTATTTTTGTGTCACTTGTGGCCTAGTCTATTCAAAAATACCTTAAATAAAATATTATCTTGTTGAATAAAATTTTTATTTTTAAACTGTTCAACTTTGTAATAATTTTCGAAAGCAAAGGGGTCCATGAAGATTTTAAGATATATAATTTGGGGAACGGTTTAGAAAAGGTTGGGAACCACTGATATATAGGGTGAATAAGGATACTCTTAAACTGGCGTAATATTATAGTAATATAAAAGAATGGACGAAAGCACGCCCCCCTCCCTCCTTGTTAACATCTAAATTCCGATTGTAAATTCCGGATTTTTCCGGATATTACAAAAAAAATTTCCGAATTTTTCCGGATATTTAAGGAAAAAAAGTTTCCGGATTTTTATAAAATGGCCAGGATAATCTATGGAAACATCACTTTTCTTGGCCAAAACTATTGAAACTTAAAATAACGGAATTTTTAACTGGAATTTGAATTTGCAGTATATTTTAAGTGTTTTTGTATAAAATAGTTTTTTTTTAAAAAATTATCAATGTTTAGAATTAAAATTTAAAAAAAAATTTTTTTACATAAAATTTTTTTTTCTTTTCTTTCTGAGTTTTTTTTTAGTCTTAAATTAGAAAATATACGATACTTACGAGTAAATATGGTGTTTCTGGAAATTGAAAATATGATTTACACGTATTTACGAAAATATTAAAATTATATTAACCTCTTTAAATACAATTCATTATCCAAAAATGTATTTTCCTCTTCAAGTTGTTCTGGATAATCGTCCTCGTCGCCATCCATATTTTCTAAATTCTCAGTCGCACATGTTTCACCGATATCCTCACAATACATTAATTCCTTTACTTCTGGTGGCAGTATTAAACGCTTCCTTTGGTGCACACGTGTATTTTAATTAAAGAATCAATGAAAAAAAAAAGTATTAAGAATTTTAAGAAAGTTTTTATAAGTAGTTTGTCTCGAATAGTAGCAAAATAATTATCAAATATATTAGCAGCAGTGGTATGATCTCAGTGGCGGATCCAGCATTTTATGGTGTTAGAGATGGCTAACCTCCAGACATGGAGCAAACTCCAAATATTTGTTATTTTTTAAAATACTTATGTCAAATAAAAATACTTTGTAAAAAATTGCGATGGTTGGAACATGGGAACAAAAAAGACTCGAAATTTGCGATTCCTGTTGTTGATAAAATAACTACTCTTAATGAAATTAATATTCATTAGACCGGGATTAAAAATAAGCAATTTGCTTTTACTTAGTAATTACTTATTGCTTTTACTTAGTAATTACTAAGCTTTATGTAAATAAAAATTTCAGAAAATTTGCTCAGATTTTAATTCGCGTAAAGCTGAACTATTACTCGGCGTTTTTGGAGTAAGTTGTCCAACTTTACGTGAATCTGAGTGATATTGCTCACGTAAAGCTAAGCAATTACTCCAAAAACGCCGAGTAAAAACAATTGCTTTTTTTTATTCATCCGGCCTATTGATAAATTTTATAATCTTTATTATTTGGCCTAATGATAAATTTTATAGTCTTTATTGTAAATTTTATAATCTTTCGGCGTTCAAAAATTATGATGACAAGAAATTTGTAACTCCCTCAAATTGAGGGGGGTTCAAACTTTACATGTTTATATTTTTTATACGCTAAAAAATTAACTTATGAAATTTAAAATTTATTAACGAGTATTAATTTAGTTAAGAAAAGTAAAAAAAAATTATTACCTTTTTGCTCTCACCTTAAAGCATGACGTCGCATATTACGGATCTTTTTTGTTCCCAGGTTTCAATCAGCGCAATTTTTTGCAAAGCACATATATCTGACAAAAGTATAAACATGTTTGGAGTTTGCTCCATATCTGAAAGTTATTAACTAAAGGTTTAATTTCCATAGTTAGTTTCCAAGTATTCCTTACATTGTTGAGGTTATTAAAAAACGACGCATAGCGCAATATTTTAGAACGTCTCTATATTATTTAATATATGTAGTATTATTTCTGAACGACTTAAATTTCGTAAATGGTAGATGATTTTTCAATTTAATATCATTTGACCTTATTTTTATAAAGCTTGGTTTTAGCAGATTAAAGGAAGTACACCAGGGCACAGTGGTCGGAAACATCACTTTTCTTTGCCAAAAGTCAAAATTTTTACACTCACAAAATATGTTTTTGTTTTTTAAATCTATTAGTCAACACTCCAAAACAACCAAAAATTAATTTTGTTGTTGTAATATGTAATTCACCGTTATTCGGTGAGTCATCGAAGTTGAATTTGTTTGCTTCATTTGTAAACAGAATTGCGTTCGGTGTTTTATAGTACTTGCGTTTGGTGTTTTATAGTGCTACTAAAATAAAATAACTTTTTCTAAAAGTCTTTAACATTTTGGAATTTATTTTACTTTTTAAGTTTGAATAAGCTTTACACATTTTGTTTAAGAGTGTTAAGCATAAGATTAAAAACCAAAATTACTTTGAAGTGTTTAGTTTTTGAAAATGTTTATCTCGATTTGCGGTTTTTTGCGGTTTTTGAGTAAATTTTTTTTTTGAGGCGTCATTTGTTTACAGAATTTAGCAGTTTTTGATATTTGGTTGACCCAGCAGAAGAAAGGGAAAAATAAAGACGCACTAATAACTTATTTTATACAAAAATGTGGAGCCGATAAAATTTCAGATGAATGCTATAAATATTTAACAGAAAAAGCACGCATGCTCAATAATAATTTGTCTGCAAAGTGGAAAAAGTGTCATAGAGAATTAGATGATTTTCAAATTAAATATTCTGGCTGGCTTTGTTCAGAAACTGTAATAAACAGGCAAATAAATTTAGAAATCGCATCCACAGAGACTCAATGCATAGTAGAACTAAGCCCAGATGAAAAAACTGTATCACTAACTGGACGCCCGCAACTTAAGTACTCTGAGAAATCTGAACGAAGTAAGAGGAGACAAGCACCAAACCTCTCGATGTCAGAACACAACGAAACAAATCTGTAAGTTTAAGCAGCATCAATTTCGGTTCGAAAACAAGGACAAGTTAATTTGGCAGTTGTTTTAAAAGAAACCATCGAAAGTCCATCAAGACCATTCAAGATTAGGAAGCTATATTTCGAATATGTAAAAGTGTAAAATATGTAAAATTGTAATGTCTGATGAGGAAGCGTTAGCATTTCTTCTCAAAAACAATTTTTCGAAGTGCCAATACTGTTCCATCCGGACTGAAAGCAAGCAACGTAACGCTAACATTTATCCACCCTATGATTTATATTAGCAATAAAAAGTAAGTGCAGACCCGATGGTGTACTTGTTGACGACAAATGTGCAAAGGTTCCTTTACAAATGCTTTTAACGCATACGGCTAAAAAAATTATAGAGATGCAAAAGGAAGTATTAGCGACAATTACGGGTAACTTCATATCAACGGAAATGATATTTAGCTACGGTTTTGACAACAGCTCTGGTCAATCTCAATATAAGCAATCTTTCCTTGTGTATCCAAAGTGCATCACGAAATGCTGATTCATGTCTGTTGGCCACAACAGTGATTCCCTTGAGACTCTTGAGTAGCGCGGGAGCCCCGATTCGGAATAATTGTTTTGCGCAGTCCACAAGATTTTGTCGGCCTTTAAAATTAGAGTACACGAGTGAAACGAAGGAAGTGATAACAAGAGAAGCTGCTGACTTAAATAAACAAATTCAAGAGCTTGAAAACTTACGTATTGAAATCGAAGCTGGTAAGATAATCAAAATAACGTTCAAACTGTTTTTAGCTGTTATAGATGGAAAAGTTTTGAATGTTTTAACCGATACAAAATCAAATCAAAAATGTCCAATATGCCATGCAACCCAAACTGACTTTCTTAAAGTCACAGATTATAACAGCGTAAAATTTCATCCTATCGATGATTTCCATCTAAAGTACGGAATTAGTCCACTGCGCTGCTGGATTAGATTTTTTGAGTTCGTACTACATTTAGGATGCAAGATGGAAGTAAAAAAATGGCAAATAAGATCGGATGAAGATAAAGATGCAATTAAGAAAAAAAAAGAGTATATTCAGAATGAGTTTTGGAAAGAACTAAGTCTTCGTGTTGATTTTCCGAAAGCAGGTGGTTGTGGTTTCACAAATGACGGCAACACGTGGCATAGAGCATTTACGGAATACGATAAATTTTTGAAAGTTTTAGGAGTAGACACCGAATTAATATTTCGAATGAGAATAATATTAATATGTTTATCTTGTCAATTTTCCCTAAATTTGGATAAATTTGAAGAGTATTGCTTTCAAACTGGTCATTTATATCAAAGCAAGTACCCCTGGTTGCCAATGACTTCCACAGTACATAAAGTTATAGTTCACTCAAAGCAAATAATGCAGAATACAGCACTTCCTGTTGGTTACTTCGGAGAGGATGCAGCTGAGTCACGAAACAAAATATATAAAAGCGACAGACTGCACCATGCACGTAAGACTAGCCGCATTGATAATCTTTTCGATGTATTTCATAGATTCTTTAATTAAAACCAATTGAATAAGAGTTGATTATATTCTTGAAAAACCAACTAAAAATTGAATTTGACCTTCTTTGGGGGGATGACTCCCCGTACACACACACACACACACACACTTAAAACCACCTATAGTAATATCATTAAGTTATATCATAGCTTATAGGAAATTAAACTGTTAATGTTATTTTTATTATAGGGGTTGTCCATAAATTACGTCACGCTCTAAGTGTGGGGGAGGGATGGTTTGTGACGACTCATACGAAACTTTTTATTCAAAGAGTTAAAAAGTTGTAACGATAGGGGAGGGGTTGAAAACTGTCGAAAATTGCGTGACATAATTTATGACCGACCATAAATAATTTAATTATGCTAATAAAACCTTTTTTTCTTTTTTTTTTTTTTTGTAAGTAATTGAAGTAGTTTTCTCCTAGCTAGGAGCAAATAATAATAAAGTTAATAAATAAAAAAGGAAGTTTTATGTTGCTTTACTGTTTAATATTACATGTGGAACACTTCAACAATCTATACTAACTGTGGCGTAGAAAGGTTTTTAAATGTTTGAAATAACCAACTTATAAACAACAACAATATTCCAAATTTTTTTACGTTCATATGTATGACAAAAAGATTTTTCGCAAAAAATCGCAAAAAAAATCAGGAGAATGGGAACAAGAAACCCTGAAGTCATAACCCCCTTGCCCCAAACGTGAGAGCAACAAGTTGATGAAATATTTTTTGTACTATTTTCAACAAGACTCATATCGAGAAGTTTTAAATTTCATTGTAAAATATTTTATGGTTCAAAAATTATGACCATATAAAGTTTGCAACCCCCTAAAATTGAGGGGGTTTAAACTTTATATGTTTATAATTTTTGAACACTAAAATATTTTACTATGAAAGTTTCTTGATGAACATAAGCGTAGTTGAAAATAGTACAAAAAATATTTCATCAACTTGTTGCTCTCACGTTCGGGGCAGGGGGGTTATGATTTTAGAGTTTCTTGTTCCCATTCTCCTATCACAGTATTTTTTTTTTAAAGAATTATTTCGTCATACATATAAAAGTAAAAAAATTTGGAATATTCTTGTTGTTTATAAGTTGGCTATTTCAAATATTTAAAACGCCACTGTATACTAGGGCATCTTCTTTTCTTTTATTTGTATATTTTATATTATCAATCTCTATCTATACTTGCATTATCTTTAAAAACTTTTTAAAATCATTTTATTTTTATTTGGAGCCTTAGCAACGTAAAATTTTTTCAACTGTTTAAAATTTTTTTTTCCACATAATCAGATATTTTCTTTTTTACATAAGTATGATTAAATACTTCTAATTGTGATTTAATAATATGTTTATTAAAATATTTATTATCCTTGATGGATAGAACAATTGTGGTTTTTATATAACTTTTGTTTTTAAATCTTTATTATATAAATTGTTTTTTTTATTGAATTATTTAAAAAGTTGTATTGTTAAAGAACAATAAATAAATAATAATAAAGACGTTTGTGAACTA